TCTCGAGCCAATAGTCGCTTCCTCCTTAAATTCCTCCCTTGATTTGGGGTTAAGGATTGTGCAGCTGTTAGCTGAGGGCTTGAGAGTGAACCGACCGGCGGGCTTGACAATGGAACCGCTGGCGGGCCTGACTTCAGAATGGCCAGCAGGCTTGACTTCGGAGCTGCCGGTGGGCTTGACATCGGAGCGGCCGGCGGGCTTGACTGCTGAGCAGCCGGCGGGCTTGAGAGTGCAGCGGCCGGCGGCCTTGATTTCCGAGCGGCCGGCAGGCTTGACTGAGGAATGGCCGACTGACTTGACTGAGGAGCAGTTCTGGATCAGGGCTGGATGCTCTCCAGACACCGGAGGATCCCTTCCCTCCAGCTTAGTCCCGTGGTGTCTGGGAGGTCCATGGGGTGATGGTAATTGGCCCCGTGCCAGAACAGAGAGTTGATGGTGGCGTCATCTAAAGCCGTCACCACGGCGAGCCCGCAGAACTCCCAGGCATACTGGATGAAGGGGAGATCCTTACAGGCTATGGCTATGAAGCGTGCCACAATCTCCATAATCGCGGGGAAAAACAAGGAAAACAAAATCTTTAAACACGAAAACAAAAACAAGGAGAAAGCACGCCGTTTACTTTTGTAGGTCCGGTATTCTGTCACGTTTGCTACTGTACTGAAGCACGGAGCGATGAACGAGGAGACGCGGAGAACATTAACAAGGAGATTTTAATAATATAATCCAACACAAGGGAACCAGGAAAACACACGTAGCTGATGAGGTTGAAATAAACAGACATTCACAATACCGGACCCGAGATATATGTATATATATATATAATATATATATATTAACACTACCCAAAACAACACTGCATTTCATGACAGTCTTTATCGTGCATCATTGATGTGACAGATTATACAGAATTCCTCACCTTCAGTGAAGCACAGTCCATCTGGAAAATAACAAGAGTGTGTTTTCCTCTCAGAATGAGGGTCTGGGATCCTGCATGTTGAACTCTGGTCTTGTCCACCCCTCCTGTCTCATCAACCACAACTATATCCTACAGATCAGAAAGCCTTCATATACAGCTTGAGTTGTAAGAATAGTTTTGTGTCATATTTCATGTTTTTGTGACTGATATTCACAATTAATAATACTTCTAGAGTATGATGAAGACTCTAATGATGGAAGCCCATTTCCAAGAAGAAAAAAAACATGCTTTGGTGACTCATAATCATGACAAAAAGTTGAAATTATGACATAAAATTTCATTTTAAAAAGTAAAGGAAAGAAGTAGGAAAATATTAGTCATAATTTTCACTTTTTGTCAATTTTTTTTAAATATAAAAAGTATGTCGTAATTTATTTTTTTTTGTCATAATTGACGTAGAATGTCTTAATTTTCATACTTGCAACGTTTTATCCCATAATTATGACACAATGTCAGAATTTTCTTTTTTGTCATAATTATGACCTTCTGTAATAAATTAGATTTTTAGCATTTCATAATTTAGACTTTTTATATCATAATGTTGACTTTTTATGTCATAATTGTTTTATATCATAATTTCAACTTTGTCTCATAATTGTAACTCAGTATGTCATTATTTTGATTTTTTTAATATCATGACTTTTTATGCCAAAATTATTGTTTTATCTCATAATGTCAACTTTTTATCTCACAGTGGACAGTCTTTATCTTATAATTGACTTAATATATTATAATTTTCTCTTTTTATGTCATCATTTCAACTTCTTCATCTCCTAATTATGGTTTAGTGTGTTATAATTATGACTTTGTATGTCATAATTTTGACTTTTTATCTCATAATTGACGTTTGTCATAATTATGATGTTATCTCATCATTTTGACGAATTTGGACTGTTTATCTCATAATTATGGCTTTTTTATTATCTCATAATTGTCTATGGTCGTAATTATGACGTTATCTCATAATTTTGACTTTTTATTCTCATAATTATGACTTTGTATACCATAATTTTCTCTTTTTATCTCATAATTGTGTCTTTTCATGTCATTTTGCTCTTATGTGGCAGGGATGGGCTTCCATACGTGATGGTCAGACTCACGTCAGCGCTCCAGTGCGTGTGGCAGGTCGGGTCTCGACGGTCACTCAGCTCATAGGAGGATGAGCCGTTGGTGAAATCTCTTCTGCCGCACGAGAGAGCGTCTTGTCCAGACGGCATCGCCAGCAGATCTACAGGAACCAGATCACAACCATGAAAACCTCCAGCTGTAATTGAGGAAACTCCTACTGTGAGTTAAAGGATGTATGAGTTTCCTGTGGTTTTGAGCCGCACATCATTTCCTGACACTGCAGTGCTCACATGCTTCAGACTCTTTAGGTTTAAGTCTCATTCCACAGTATATTTCTGGCTACTCTTTGCTGTACTTATTTATACAGTGATCTTTACACTTTTATCCCACTGTGGTTTCAAAGTCACAGACAGTGATAGTGTTGTGTGCAATGCTCCTGTATGATGTACATTCATTACATGCACGTGCTTGTCTGTGCATGCTTGTATGATGCACCTGCATTTCTTAGTTGTTATGCGGTGAACATTTGCATTCATGCATTTGGCAGACGCTTTTATCCAAAGCGACTTACACTGCATTCAAAGTATACGTCTGATCGGTTCATGCATTTCCTGGGAATCAAACTCGTGATGCTGGTGTTGCAAGCGCCATGATTTACTGCATGAGCAACAGGGATACTATCATGATCTGAACACCTGCTCATCTGCTCATGTCTCCTACATCAAAGAAGATCACAGACGATGGCACAGAAGCTCATTAAAGTCTGTGAAACGCAATGAGAGTGTGAGTTTGGCTTTTAACTGTCAAAAGAAAACCATGCATTTCCCAACATGAATATCCCTGCTGACAATAACAATAAGCTAGCAATGAGGGGGAAGTTGAGTTCTTCTTCTTTCACTTTTAAAATGAGCTCCAAACATGATCAAGTTCATAAAGCTTCACCGACTGCATGAGAAAACAAACAACACTTACATGTTTACATTAGGATGCAGCTTCTGATCTTCCTTTTGTGTGCCATTGAGAGAGTTTAAAGAAAACTCAACTCTATACTGTGCTGTAAAATAGTCAAAGCCGAAAGAAAGAGAAAGTGAGAGAGAGAGATAGGGTGTGGCTCTCAATTCACACACACAGTGATAGACAGATCTGTCTATCTATCTACCCATCGTCTGTCTGTCTGTCTCTCTTTTGTTCTTTCTTTCTACCGGTCTATCTATCTATCTATCTATCTATCTGTCTGCACTGAAGACTGGAGTAATGATGCTGAAAATACAGCTTTAAACACCCGTTTAAAACTGTAATAATATTCCACTGTTTTTACTGTATTTTTGATCAAATAATGCAGCCTTGGTGAGCAGAGAGGCTTCATTCAAGATATCTTAACATCCCCAAAGTTAAGTATTTAATACTGACATCTGGGGAAAATTAAACACAACAGATTTGATTTTCATACAGTAAATTATTTTTGCACTCACCCTTACAAAGGATTACCACAGAGTGCTGCAGAGAGACACAGGTGAGAAGACATGAGAAACACTCGCTGTATCTATCTATCTGTCTATCAATCTATCATCTATCTGTCTGTCTATCAATCTATCATCTATCTGTCTGTCTGTCTGTCTATCTATCTATCCATCTATCCATCTATCCATCTATCTATCTATTGTATCTATATATATACCCGGCATTTATTTAAAGGTCCCATGACATGCTGCTTTTTGGATGCTTTTATATAGGCCTACAGTAGTGTATATACTGTATCTGAAGTCTCTTTCCCGAAATTCAGCCTTGGTGCAGAATTTCAGCCACTATGAGCCAGTCCCACAATGAGCTTTCCTTAGGACGTGCCATTTCTGTGTCTGTAGCTTTAAATGCTAATGAGGAGGAGAGAGGCGGGGCAACTGCCATGCTTCGCTCGTTTGCAAGCCATGATGTCTCTCGAGGAAAAAAAAATATTGCGCTCGCCTCGCACGGTAGTAGCTCA